TCTTCAGCGATATAACTGAATGTGTCACAGCCATTAAACCAGAAGAAAATGAAAAAATGTGGCAGAAAATGAGAAATTTGATATAATTTTTTTCTTACGTTGGAGATGACAGAAAGGAGAACAAAAGTAAATTCACACACAAAAGTCCTGGAATTTCAAAGTCCAAAGAATAGCTATTTAGACTGAACAAATAAGGATAAACAATAGAGCTATACCTTCAAAAAGGATAACAATAACTAAAAAGTGATTTTTAAAAAACCCTGAAAAACTCAGAAAGATCTTAGAACAATAGAGAAAGGTGGATCCAGGCCTTATTTTTTTAATGTCAGATTGCTAAAAAGCAAGATTATATCGTTTGAGAATTTATTAGAAAGAATCAAGTACAAGGAATCTAAATGACTTGATTTTTTTCATGGTAACCTAGGAAAGATGAGAGAGAGAGAGAAAAAGAGAGAGAGAGACAGAGACAGAGAGACAGAGAGAGACAGAGAGAGAGACAGGGAGACAGAGACAGAGACAGAGACAGAGACAGAGACAGAGACAGAGACAGACTTAGACAGGGAAGGGATTCCCAGAGCACAAGGCAAGGCAGAAGTCTTGTGACAGTGATTGTGCTACAGACAATAGAACAAGATGCCTCAAACACCCTTGTTTTCTCACTTTGAAACCCAAGAACAGATCCTGAGCTCTCAGTCCTGAGAAAGACCCCTCATTTTCGTTCCTTCTTAGCTAGCCTTCAGCAGGCAGTGATGGAGTGCTAACAATGCTCTTGCCTTGTGCTCTAAATAATTGAACCTCCTTTTCTATATCTGAAAAGTATTTGACTTAAAATTCTAACAGAGGGTTAAAAAAGAGCTTTATTAGGCTTTGTTCTGAATGTATAGAACAGACCATTTCCTCTGAACAGAAGTTTTGACTAACACTGGAATCAGGTTCTATGATTCTGCTTCACATATGCTTCGCATAGACCCTTAGGCACATAAATTCATTTTATAACAAACATTTAAAAGCATAATGGGGCCAGCCAAATAGCTCAGTGGATTAAAGTCCAGCCCCGCTCCCTGGGTGCTGGAAGAAGACAATTGAGACTGGGCGTGGTGATGCGCGCCTCGAATCCCAGCTCTTGGGAGGCTGTAAACAGGCGGCTCACTAGGATTCCAATCTAGTAGTGAGACCCTGAACACCATGTAGACCCTTCCCTAAAATATAAATAAATAAATAAATAAATAAATAAATAAATAAATTGAATAAAATGAATTAAATAAATAATTAAAAGCATTATTATGGTAAAATAGTTGAAATCCTTAGCGATGAATATATGGTCTCACTCAACAGAAGCATGGAATATTCAGATACGCATAATATATATGCATTAATATATTCAGATAGATCAAATATATGCAGAATATATATACACATATATGTGAACATATAGATCTGAGTTGCTTAGTATTTGTAACACTGCAATCAATAACATATCCTTATCCATTTTACATACTTGTGAAACGTAGTATCTCCCCTTTGGATGGCACACAGATAAGGGTCATTCAGCTGAAAATAAGGAAAAAGTGTGTATCTGTCTTTGGTGCTCTCCTAGTAGCTCTGGTTGCTGTATTTAATTGGGATATATGTGAACATGAACTTGACGTTTTCCTTCTAGTTAGGATGACACTGTTGTGGTGTTCGTGCTTTATTTCCTCGAGTCAGAGGTTATGTTCCTGACCTAGAATGGCCCCCTCCTCCCCTTACAACCTGGATGCTGCTCTGGAGAAAAATGCATGCTCCAATACTGCCTTCTAGGTGGGAGGCTTTCTTTCATTGTATGCACTTTGTTTGAAAGTCACTAGGATTTTATCACAGAGTGAGTACTTCATATATGTATAAGCTCCTAAAGTAGGAAGATATTTCCTTTTGCTATAAAACAACTTTTAGGAATTGGAAAAAATAATATTATACACTTATCTATTCTGTACATACAGAGTTAAAATAGAGAAGGATGTTTAACTTTCGAATTTCATTAATTAAATATTTAACTCAAATAATTATAAAATTTGACTGGACATTAAATCATTATTTTCTGACTTCTTAATAATAAGATTGTCATTTCTTCCTATCTGAAGGTTATTTAATAAAATAATGATATTTTAAAAGTCAAATTTGAACCAAGTTCATTAGACATTAAACATTATCCAAAACCTCAGTATTTTCTGTTAGGTAGTGTGAAGCTTAAGGTAGGCTGTTGATTTGAGTGACTGAGGAACTGCCCAATCATGTAGTACAGCCCCCTCCATATGTGCATGGTCAGGCCAATGAGGCATAACCTAGCGTTTGTATGGTCCCTGGCTCCTTCTTCCCTGGCCTGGTCTCCCTGCTCAGCTTCCCCATTATCGTGAACAGAGCCACGTTGCTCCAACACACACTTTTGCCATGATAGTTTTGTCTTGGGGCCAGCTTAACATGGACTGAATAATCTGAAGCCCTAAATAAAATATCCTCCTATTTATTATGACTGCCAAGTATTTGGTTTCGGGTACAGGAAGGCTGGCTAGTACAAGTACATTATTTAAAGAAGCATGATTTAATGGGAAAACAATCTAGATTTTTTTTAACATAGTAATTTGTTCCTACTTAAAGACAAATTATAATAGCTACATACAAAAAAGTTATAAAATTATCCTTGGTTTTACAATGATAAATAAGAAACATTAAAATTCTCCAATCAAACAAGGTATACAATGATTTTTTACTCTATTGTCTTATTTTTGTGAAAACATTGAAAGCAAAATAACTTGCTGGAATATAACAATAAGAGCAGAATGAGGATGACATTTATGGAGAACGGGAATTATTTTCACAGAACCAGTATTTTCCTCATCTACCAATAAATAAACCAATGATGAGATAAGCATTGATTTGTGTAGCTTTCTAAAATTAAGACAAAATTATTATCAAAATATAGATTCTACCTTAAAATAATAATACAATATAAGTCTAATACACTTGGGAGTTTAAATTTTAATGTAGTTTTGATATTAGGAAATTTGATTATGCAATTTGAGAATTTGAAATAATACTTCATAGTTTTTCATTTATTTTTTTCAGGGAATTTGATTATAATTTTTGTTTAGTCAATTAATCAATAAGAAAATTTTATAGACTGGCTTTAAAAATTAAAAAAAAAGTATATGTTCTTTTAAAAGTTTCTACCAGTGTATTAACATTTACATGTTATCATGGATCATTAACATTGAACCTATCTCTTCTTCTTTGATGAATTATACTGAAGTATCAATGAGCAAAGTATTCTCAAATTGGATATAAATTTAACTTCAAATATGTCAGCAATTATTGTACAATCTTATATAACACTATGAACATGGTCAATATTTACTCACAGAAGAGGCAAGGTTATGACCATCATCTCAATAATTAATTTTTTTTCTCATTTTTACTACCCTAAATCTAAAGTTTACATTGTATATCCCAGTACATGTTTTCCTAGGTCTGAGTGTATCCTCAAAGCTTTCGTCCTCTTTTTTCTAGGAAACTAGAAAGTAGCTATACTTCATGACCTACAAGTATTCACATGCGGTCTTCCTTTAATGCAAAACATGTGTAGTATTATTCATTTACAAGTGCACGAGAAAAATGAAAGTCAAGGCTGAAAGTAAAATGGACATAATTTTAATGGTTTCTTTAAAATTTTGTGCATTGGATTCAAACAGCAAACTGTGTGCACTCAACTGTTATCACAATGTTGTCAAGAAATCTGTGTCTTTTACCATTTTACACACAATTGTTCATTACAATATGTTGTCAGCCTTGTGGAAACCAGGGGTGTGGCATGGTAAGCAGTGCTGGTAGTGCACCTAGCTTTTATATTATCTAACTTGAAAATATTTCTCTTCTATGACTCCTCTTTTCTTGATAAAAATAGTTTTCACCAAACGTTGGTGGTGCACACGCACTACCATACATGCTTGACATCACACCCCTGACAGGAACACATGTTCTTATTTTGTTGATAAAAAGTATTACAAAAATTTCCATACAAAAACTATTTTCATAGAAATCTTGCATTTCCACAAATAAACCTGAACATTTTTTTGAAAAAAAAAAAACTGCTCAAGAATTTTCTTCATTTTACATTGTGACTGTTGAGAAATGCAGTCCGCTTCTGAGTTCTCTGCACGCGTACTTCTCTCGTGATGACAAGTTCCCTTTCTCTTATCAGTGAGATCTGCCCAGGCTCCATCAAGTTCATTTGGAACAGAAACAAGGGTTTGCATTCACGTAGCTGAATCTGAGAATGAAAGCTTCAGTCTTCCAAGTAACCAAAAATACTGACTCGTCTTTTGCAATTTAAGACAAGGATTGCCAAAAAATCATTCTTTTAACTCAGAATCACTAAACCAAGTTTTGTTCTTTTATTTCTTGTGTGAGGTTAGGGAATGGGGGTGTTCAGGGGAAATGAGGGGGTCTGTTTGAGGTGTTAAGTCTCCTGCCTTGGAGAATTTAAGAAAAAAATTTATTGTTTTGATATTTTACATTGATATCTCATTCAGTGACACAGACTATGAGGTAAGAAAGAAGAGAAAAAGGAAGAAAGAGAAAGGGAGGGAAGGAGGGAGAGAGGGAGGGAGGGAGGGAGGGAGGGAGAGAGAGAGAGAGAGAGAGAGAGAGAGAGAGAGAGAGAGAGAGAGAGAGAGAATTTGCTTCATATTCCAATTGCCAAGGAATTCAGATGTGTTTTGCATTACATTTTTCACATTCTATAAACACATACTGTCTATTCATAGGATAATTATACTCAGTAGATGGAGCTACTAACATCATTGCTTCTTCTCTGGGTATTCAAAAGAGGGTAATATTTCACTAGAAATCATAGTTGTGGCTGATGTCAAGTATTTTTATCCTTTAAAAATTTTTCCTTACTAATCGCCCCCTCGGGCATTGACATTCCATCTCCTGGCAACAACTGAGCTTCCCAAGGAACCTAAAATTTCTCACTGGACTGCATTAGAAGTCAGTCACAAAATGCTCATGTAACATTCACTCAGAGGAAGGGAGGAACCCATGATAAACAGTGTAACCCAGTGTAACTTGGTTGATCCGTGATGCTTGTAAATCAAGTCTGATCATTGCAACTGCTTAGATCACAGAGTCTCTAGTTCATAGACACAGCGGCATGAGGTAACTCATTTTATTTTGCACAGGTTGCATATTTCCACAGGAAACATTCTCGCTAAATTGGAAAAAAGACGACAGTTTGTGCTTGGGCGTTGGTTCTCCCAGCTTTATGCCATGGTTTCTTTACCTGGCAACCTTCTGTCATTAAAAGTGTGCATGTTGATAACCTCTTCTGTTTTCACAATAACTGGGGCCTGTGGCTTATGTTTTAGCCGACGCTGGCATTTCAGGGACATCCTCAGTTCCTCTACCATGGCACTACAGAAGGATCTCTAAAGAAGAACACAGAACAGTTGAATTTACAAACAGATAAATGCAAATGACCAAAAACAGCATGAAAATCATCCTCAACTGACCTGTCAATGTAACAGTCTTAAAGGTTTAAAAATTTCACTGTAAAATATATAACAATAACTAGACTTTAATAGATTTTAATACACAACAATAACTAAAGAATGTACTCAAAGTGGATTAGCATATGAAAAACAAAAAGAAACTCTAACACTGAAATGAATTCAACAAGAAATGTATATAATTGAAGTATATAGAGTACGGATTTCTGACGACACCATGTCAAACTGATTAGCATAAAATAGAAATCGACGTAACATTTAAAAACAGACATCTAAGTCATAAATCCATTTGCGAAAATTCCAAAATAATTTTAGAAGAATTTGCTGCTCTTTAGATCTCAAGATAAGTTACACAAAATACCCTGTAAACATTGATTCTTCATGGTGCCTCCTGAAACAACAAAAAGCATCACACACAAAGACATAAAATGTGAAAATCATTTCTAGTATTTAATTACATTTTTGGTGATTATACCTATAAAACATTGACATGATTAGAAACAAGTATGGTTCAATCACAAAGTGACAAACTAACGTGTTAAACATCTCCAAACAATGTTAAAAAAAATTTTTGTCATCTACTTGTAACTGAAGCCTGTAAATAATGTGTTCCTTGAGGAAAAAGAATCTACCATCTATCTTTTAATTCTCTTATTGGAAGATTTTAAGCTTCGGCATATCGGAGGCTCATTATTCTAGATCATAACTCATATTACAGTCATATATGCAAAATGATTTTAAATACTCTTTTCCCTATCTGATTGTAATTCTTATGTATTAATTACATATAAATCAGATTAGGAACCAACTGTATATTACAGTTGAAACTCACATTGGTGGACCTTTAGGTTAGGATGATTTTTCTGGAAAAGAATCAAAAATGCGAACAACAACCCAACATTTGGACAAGTCTAAAACTTGACATAGCTCTCAAATGTGACATGAAAACAAGATGAAGAAAACCTAATCAAATATGAATGTGAAGAATTCCTTTGTTGTGGCTTCACTGCTGTTCAGTTTAGGCTGATTGCAAGAGAAAATAGGATAAAATTTTTAATATCATATTTATACTTGACATCCTTATTTGAAAAGTATTTTGCATGAAGAAACTTCTATGACATTCAAAACAGCAGTTCAAATTGGTTAGGCTTCTGTTGCAGAAAGCCAACTCCAACAGTGACTTTCTGCAGTTCACGCTTGCCACTGAAAAGTGTATCTAGATTCAAGTTTTGTAATTTTTAACAATGCTTTAATTACTTTATGCTTACCCATGAATGGGGCCTCATTTTTTTCAGACAGGTTTTTGGATCAATTTAATTATTTGTCTTCTTTACTAGAAGTCTACATCATTTGTAAGAATATTCCACGTCTTTGCATCAGTTACTAATACCCTTTTTCGTGAGCAGCAGGTCATATTCATAGCTCCCATCCTATCAAATGTGACTGCCTTTACTCATCCTGCTTTACCTCCCATTGTCTTCCTTTCTCCCCATCCCTGGCTTTCCTTTCTCTTCACACCACCTTCTGTGCTTGGCTCTTCATGGCTTTTGGCTTTTGCTTCTCCTCTTTTGATGCCCTGATGAGATCTTTCAGCTTTCACGTAACTCCCTACCTCTGGATATGACTCAAGTTTTAGCTTCTTTAGAGTATCTTTTGCACAGCCTCATTATTTTCACTCAATTTCACTTTATTGCCTCAGTGTTTTGCAAACAGCACAGAGACCAAGGTTTTGGGCATGACCAAAAGGTTTTTAAATCATGACCAAGTTAAAAAAAAAATAGCTGCAGGACACTGCGCTTGCCAGGTAAGCACTTAGTCTACTGAGCTATCTCCCCGGCCCTGCACCTAACACTTTCAATCTTATTTGCCATTGTTTCTGACTCAGCTGCTTAAAGGTTTTCAGATTTAGAGTCTTAGCAAAACACAATCTAAAGCTTCAGCATTTGTTTAATAATAATGAATTAGTAAAAATATTAATGTGTTAGCACTTTCCATGGGTGATGGCTAAATGTTACTCCCGAATTTCTTGTTAAGTACAGAGTTACTGCCATGCATTATTTATTCTGTGTTAAATTATGCATTACTGATCTTCATGAATTACTGAATGATATTTACAGTAAGTTATTTCTATGGCACCTGGCAGCCAGTTTATGGACACAGTGTTTTGTGTTGCTTAATACCTACTATTAGATGTATTTATTAAGAACATGATGGCAATGATGATGAAGATGGTGATGGTGACAACACTGGAGAAATGGAAAAATCTGATTCCCAAAGGGAGAGGAATACAAAGTCTTGAGGTAACTTAGTCTTGGCTCTCTGTTGAAACATTTAACAGAAGAATCGATTAGATAACATGACAAGGTCAGAACTCAATCCTCCTACACTTATAAGTGTTACAAGCTGTGAATCATTTTGAAATACATCAGGGTTTAAAACTAATAAATTCCCCAAATATTAACTAACGCAGAACCCCTTCTTATGGCAATTTCAACTTGTGGAGTTCTGGTTGTATGGGCTTCAGAACAAACCAGAAAAGCACGTGAAGTTTTCTTGTGCAATTCAAAGCTAGAGCAAGCAACTGATTTTCTTAAGAAAAAATATGATCAAAATACTTGCACAATCTTCACTAGTACCCTGTGCTTAATTCAAACTAAAAATGAAGGCATACAATGCTATTTTGAATCATCAATATACATTTTATAATTCAAATATAAAACTCAACTAAAATAACTTGCTCCAAAGATCAAAGTGATTTTATTTTTTGTAGTTGTAGGCTATCATAAATTAATTATATCGACTAATTCAGAATCTATCTCAGTTAAAATTTTGTAACCACAGTTTACCATTTCAGACTTCATTGAATTTATAAAGCCATTAGAAATTAAACATTTAGTCATGCAATCTTTACTCAATCAATGGTCTTGACAACATATTTTTAAAATAAAAATGTTTTCATTCTGAGTAAGGTGAATTTTACAAGTTCCTCTTTGATTATCAGTGCAATTATTTCATTTTTAATTACAAATAAAACATGAGACAATAGGAATTTTCTTATTAGAATATACTTAGAGTCTATCATAAAACTCAAGAAATATTTGGAGCTGAGAAATATTTGGAATATACAAAACAAATCAAGAGAAATTAAGGACATTTCATAATATAAAATATTGCTTAGTCCTTTTACTAAGATAATTTCTGTCGCTTTTCGTCTTTGTCTCTGTCTCTGTCTCACTCTCTCTCTCCCACCTCTTAAGTATCTGAAGTTCAAATCACATAGTTTTTAAAAATAGAATCATTAACCTTGATGTATATTGGCAAAACATTAGTATAACTGTAAAGTAATGCTTTGTTTGCATGCAATAAACCAGATATCTTTTTGTACTTCATCCAATAATTGGAATTTTTAAGAATTTCTTATAGGACTATGAAATTATGTTTAAGAAATAAACATCATATGTCCTTAACAGAAGTTTCCCATGTTAGCATAAAAATAAAGAGGTGAAGGAAAGAATGAGAGATAAAAATAAAGGAGTGAAGTAGAATGGCAGGTGGACAAATGGGACAGAGGAAAGGAAGGAAAGAACACAGGGAGTGAGAGAGGAAGAGGGACCTTGAGAGGAAAGGGAGGAGACTACAGCTGTCAAGACTTCCAAATCCCTTCTCCCGAGGTGTAGACACCAAAGTCAATGTCCTCATATAAGGAAAGTTCTTTAGAGTGAAAGTAACAGTAAAAATGTTTTTTTTCATATTAATTTAACAGACTACAAAATGAGAAAAGAAAGGCACAAGGATACTAACCATTATTAAAAACCTCTTTTAGTAAGTTTCAAATTTTACTAAACAGTGTCTGGATGGTATGGTGGCACTAACCAAATAGAAGATTCCTGAAAATGAAAATTTACATCTTTGAGCTGTTAGCATGTATAATTGCATTTAAATAAATAAAACTTTTACAAAATTCACTAAATTGAATGAAACAACCTGTACTTGCACACCTCTTATTTCAGAAATAATGAAGGCCTGGAAATCTTAATGGTATGGAATTGCCCTGTTTCCATTTATTTTTAAGTTTTCTTTTGTATTTTGAGTAGAGTAAGCAAACAAATTAATAGTCCACAGAGAAATGTTTGCAAAAGTACCATACTAAGGATTACAGAATAATTATTCTCTATTGCTTTACTTTCTAATTTATAGAAGTGTTTATATAACATAATAGACCATTTGGAAAAACAAAGAATTTTAAAATATTGGAAATGTATTTGTGACTGTGGTTGCTATTCAAACTAATACATTCAAACTTCATTTGTAAGTTAAGCTCATTAAGCAGTTAAAAAATCATTTATTTTTTTTTTCAGTACTGGGGATCGAATTCTGGACCTTATGCTTGCCTAGCAGGTACTTATGTTACTGTACTATATCCCCAGTACAGAATCAGCCTGAAATTTCAAACTCAGCCTAATCACTTTCCTGCTGGTGAATGCCTCCATTTTTTTGAAGCTAGGATCTTGAAAATGTTATACTATTTATTTAAGCTTCTCAGCAGTGAAAAAGCTTTTTAAAGACCCTTTCACTTAATCAGTGTAATTTAATAGAATATATGCAAAAACTTAGAGAGTAAAGTTGTGTATTTGAGGTTATGTTCATAGCAGTTGTCAGGGCCCACAAAGAACTTTTGATGTAACTTCCATTCTATGAATGCTTTTAGAAAGTAGAAACTAACCTGCCTTATTTGTAATGTCTTCAGTCTAACTGAGCTTTCTGCCTAATATTATTCTAATTATATGTTAATATTTGCATACTAAATGATAAGGCAGAGAGGAACAAAGTGTGAAATCATGAAATACAGATCTTTCTCAGTAAGTTAAGTGCAAAACATGGATTATTTTACAATGATAAACATGATCAAAGATTCAAGT